TCCCTCTGACCCTCCTCCCTCTCATGCTCTCTGTCTCTCACTCTCTCTGTCTCAAATAAATAAATAAAATCTTTAAAAAAAAAAAAGAGTAACTGATTCTGCTTGAGGAAAGAGGATTTTGCCAGAGAGAGAAAAGAAAGATATTCCGAGTATCAAAACTAGCCACCAGACAAGGCATGGTGTGAAAGGGCAAGGCTTCCTGATCTTTTTCCCCGACACAGTACACGTGGAAAGTAGTATCTGTACACCAGAACGGAGCAGAGGATGCTGCCGATGACGAGATGAGACTCCACACACCTGCGGTCCATTCTCCGCACTCCGGAGAAGCCGCGGCTGAGGCCACAGCAGAGATGAGTGTTTTAAGGGGATTGTGTTGGGGGAATGAGGCTGGAAAGAAGTCAAACTGCCAAGGGCCTAGAATGAGGTTGTTAAAGATTTTCTGTAAAGAGCCAGAGAGTAAATATTTTAGGCCTGGTGAGCCATAGGATTCCTTGTGCAGCTATTCACCTCCATCATTACAGTCGGAAAGCAACCATAGACAGTATGTAAATGAATGATTGTTCCACTAGAGCTTTTAGTACAAAAAAAGACTCCTGGCCAGATTTGACCTGCAGGCCGTAGTTTGCCACCCCCCAGCCTCGAATGACAGGCCAAGGAGTCTGATCTCCGATGGGGTTTTATTTTTTTTTTATTTTTTATTTTTATTTTTATTTTTTTTCCGATGGGGTTTTAAAGTAGCTGCACCTTTGAGTTCTGTCCCCAAATCTGGATGGTCTTCTCTCACACCACCCACCTGCAGCCTGGGTTGGCTGGCTGGTCTGTGTTCCTCCAACCCTTCCCACACCTCCCCTGACCCTAGTTGGGGCTTCCCTGCTCACCTTTGCTACTCCTTCCCCTTCCCATCTTTGTGCCTATTTCCCCCATGAGACTGTGAACAGTACCGTGTTGGGTTCAGCCTTCAGCCTTCCCCCAAGTATCTTACAGACGACCTGTCACAGTGGGCACCCAGGAAGGCTTCTGAAAGACCAAATGAAGGTGTGAGGAACAAAGCTATGCTAAGGAAGGAGCAAGGATCCTGAAGAGGCACATCTGAGAAACCATGTGGGCAGTGCTAATGTGAGCAGGCCTAGGCAAGAGGAGAGGGGCGGGAGGGCAGAGTGGCCTGAACCTTACTGGTATTTGAGAGTCTCCTGGTGATTCCTCCAGTTGGCAATCTCTAGGGAACAGCTGTCCAGGCCCCGCACACAAGGGGGATCACCTGCTCCTTCTGTCCCATCCACAAATGGCCGCAGCCGCACAGCCACCCTTACTCGAGCTGGAGGCGGGCGCCGGCCAGCCCCCACCTTGCTTAGCCGACAGCGACCAGCTCCTAGAGAGAAGGTAAGTTTTGAGGCATGAAATACGGTGGTAGCACAGAGGTAACAGTAGGAGTCTTGCAGGAAGAGCTACTTGATACAGCTGAGCTCTGAAGGATGAATAGCAGCTTGCCCGGAGGACGGTCGGAGATTGGAGGAGAGAGATTATATACAGGTCGGGGACTGCAAACCATATCATGTACTTAGCAAACATTAACATTTATTAAGCACCGACTACATGTCAGGCATACTTTAATCTTCACGGTGTCCCTGAGGTAGGTTCTACTCGTGCCATTTTACCAATGAGGAAGCTCATGGACGTGTGGCAGCTCTTCTGAGCACCTCAGTATGTTATACCTGGGGCCTGTGCCCATTACATCTTGTTTCAGAGCCCACACTTTGTCCTTTTGCTCCTCAAAAGAATAAGCAGAGCCTAAAAACAAAACAAAACAAAACCCCAGCATCTTAAGTAGATTAGAGACCCTCATACCCTTGACAGAGGGGCAGGGAAGATGGATTGGAAGTGGAGGCTGAGGTCCAAGGGGACACCTTGGGAGGGCCAGAGGCCCCCAGCTCATTTCAGGGAAACTCCTTCCACCCTGGCTGTATTGTGGGTGTCCCTAAGCTTGGCCCCAGTTCCTTCCTTGCTCTACAAGTAGGTCCAGTGGGATGAAGATTGTCAGGTTTACACCAATGACCTGGAAGATCTTGTTAAAATGCAGATTTCGGGACGCCTGCGTGGCTCAGTCGATTAAACATCTGCCTTCCGCTCAGGTCATGATCTCAGGGTCCTGAGATCAAGTCCCACATCGGGTTCCTTGCTCAACAGGGAGCCTGCTTCTCCCTCTGCCTGCCACTTTCCCTGCTTGTGCTCTCTCTCTCACACACAAATAAATAAAAATCTTTACATTAAAAAAAAAAAAAATGCAGATTTTGCTTCAGTGCCTGGAATGATGCCTGAGCTTTTTTTTAATATTCTGCATTTCTAACTAACTGCCAGATGATGTGGATGCTGCTGGTGGGACACGCTTTGGATTGCAAAGGTATTGTAGACCAGCATCTTCCGGGGTTGTTGTAAGGATTAAAAGAGTTGACATTTGCCCCCACCCAAAACCAGTCCATGAACTGCCTGACTTTTCTGTGCTTCTATTTCTTACCTGAGGTTTACAACACATACTTACATGTTTAAGTGTGTATACACACAGAACTGTTAATGATGCTTTTCTCTTGATGGGGATTATGTAGGTTTCTTTTCTATGTTACCCAGTTATGTAATGCTGTAATGTTTGCATTAAAAATAAATAAATAAATAACACTGTGGACATCTTCGTTTCAAGGGAGTAAGGTTGAGAGGCAGCCCCCAGTCCCTTTTGTCCCAGCTCAGTGTGCAAAAGGCATTAACATGCAATCCTTCTCTAGTGTAAGCTTTCTGTTTGGTTTGCTTCCAATAATTAAATCTAAGTCATTAAAAAAAAAAAGATTATGAATATTTTATCAGAAAACACAAGATAAAACTTTTTTTTTTAAGATTTTATTTATTTATTTGACAGAGACACAGCGAGAGAGGAAACACAAGCAGGGGGAGTGGGAGAGGGAGAAGCAGGCTTCCCGCAGAGCGGGGAGCCCGATGCGGGGCTCGATCCCAGGACCCCAGGATCATGACCTGAGCCGAAGGCAGACGCTTAACGACCGAGCCACCCAGGCGCCCCACAAGATAAAACTTTTATTAAAAAGTCTGTTTGGGGCACCTGGCGGGCTCAGTCAGTAGAACATGCAACTCTTGATCTTGGGGTCACAAGTTCAAGCCCCACACTGGGTGTAGGGATTAGTCAAAAAAATAAATAAAAATTTAACAACAAGTCTCTTTATTTTCGTGAGACTGAATGAGCTGAAAAATATCTTAGAAGGGTATTTCTCTATTTTATGTTGGAGGATACCACACTCTGTAGCTCACAGCAGAATTTTTTTTTTTTTTTTAAGATATTTTATTTATTTGGGGTGCCTGGGTGGCTCAGTCATTGGGCGTATGCCTTTGGCTCAGGTCATAATCCCAGGGTCCTGGGATCAAGCCCCACATCGGGCTCCCTGCTCCATGCGAGGCCTGCTTCTCCCTCTCCCACTCCCCCTGCGTGTGTTCCCTCTCTCGCTGTGTCTCTCTCTGTCAAATAAATAAATAAAATCTTAAAAAAAAAAAAAAAGATTTTTTATTTATTCATTTAAGAGAGAGAGAGAGAATGAGTGAGCGGGAGGGAGCGGGAGAAAGAATCTGAAGCAGACTCCGCACTAAGCACAGAGCCCAAAGCAGGACACGATCCACAACCGTGAGATCTCGGCCTGGGCCAAAACCAAGAGTTGGACACTCAACCGAGTGTTAGGTGCCCCTAACAGCAGAATTCTAACCTAGATCTCTTGGCCTCCAAAAATCTGCTTTCAATGAGGATGCCATATTGCCTATTACATACAACCTGGGAAAGTTCTTGGCAGCTCTGACTCTCCCCATTTGCTAGTGGTAGCAGCTAGTCGTCAGGACCATAGGCCTCATATAAGGCAAAAGGCTGGTATGTGGCCAACGCAGAAACAGCAAGACAAAAAGGTGGACAAGATGACCCCTGCTGAGAATTTTACACATAGTAAGGCATACCCATAAGCAGATGGCCTACAAGAACTGGGCCTCTGCTCCTTCATCTGACAAACGAAGCCAGTAATTCCATGTTATGGTTTACAAGGCACTTGGGCATCGAGTTTTCACTTGATCTTCATGAATCCTGAAAGTCAGTAGCAAGTCAATAGAAACCTGCAGACGTAACCATGCAGGTGAGAAAATTAAGGTGCACGGACTTGTCAAAAATGTGTGTAGGGGCAGAGAAAGAGGGCAGATACAGATGCATCTAAGGAAGTTTAAGGGGGAAGGGGAAGTCTATGGTAATGTAGAAAGAGTGTAGATTCATGTCAGACAGAGCTGAATTTAAATTCCAGCTCTGATACTTATTAGATTGTGACCTTGGGCAAATGACTTAACATCCATGTGCCCTGGTTTCTTTGTCTATAAAATGGGGTGAGGTGGGCCTTGGAAAGGCTTAAAGAGAATCAAAAGAAGTAACATGTAAAATGCCAACGCAGTAACTGGCATACAGTGAGTAGTTTCATTACTCAAGGTAAGATGGCCTGGGTTCAAATCCCAGCTCTGCCACTTACAACTAACTGAATAAACTGGGGGAAATGATGGTCTATTCCTGTGCCTCAATTTCCACACCTGTAAAATGGGAATAAATAAAAATACATCCTCACTGGGTTGTTAAGGAAGTAAATAAAGAATTGATGTAAAAGTGCTCAGAATGTGCATTTGGCACATCGGTAAAAGCTCAGTAAGTGTTTTATTTGGTATTCATCCTTCATTTTCCAAATGTGGAAGCCTCAGTATAGAGAGGTTGGCTAACTTGCCTGTGGTCAACAGCTGCTAGTGACAGAGCTTCCACACTTGATCTTAGCCAAAAGGCCGAGAAGCGATGTGACAGAGCTTCCAATGAAGGTCTAACTCCAAAGTTCATTGTATGGCCTCCCAGTCCTCCTCGGCCCCTCCTTTTTGTATGCAACCCCATGGGCCTTGGAGTCAGAGACAAGTTCCACCTACCAGCTGTGTGACCTTGGGAAGCCTTCTTAACCTCTCTGAGCCTCAGTTTCTCTTTGTAATAGTATCTACCCTCGTAAGATTGTGAGGAGCCACAGAAAGAATGTACATACAATGTTTGGCTCAGTGGCTGGCAGCAGGGGCTCAGTAAATGTTAGCTATTGTTACTACCTTCCTTCACTCTTGCTACTCACTCCTCCAAGTATCAGCTCACTTCCGCCCTCACCATTCTGCAGGGTCACCAATGACCTCCTTACTGCTAAATCCAGTAGACATGCCGACCCCCATCCTATTTGACTTCCCAGCAAGATCCAACACCCTTGATGTGCTTTCCGTTGAAAAATAGACTTTCCCCTAGCTTCCATGCCAGAGAGCTGAGGGAAACAGCTCTCTGCTCACCCCGTCTAAGTTTCTGCCAGTCTTAAATGTTTTTCCTAGGCTCCTTCTATCCTCTCTCTAGCACAGGGTTGCTCAACTTTGGCACTATTATCTTGGGCTGGACAATTCTTTGTAATAAGGCTGTCCGGTGTGTTGTAGGCTGTTTAGCACACATATGCCGGTAGCGTTCCGTGGGCCACAGCCCCCCCCCCCATACCTGTAACAACCAAAAAAGTCCCCAGATATTACAAATGTCTCCACAGGGAACAAAATTGCCCCTCGTTGAGAACTATACTCTGATTCATTTCATGGGCATGGTCCCCGGCTTTCTTGGCTTTAATCACTATCTTAAAGCTGATGACTCCTAATCCACACCTCCAAACTAGAGCTCGCTCTCAAACTTAGGATCCAAGTGCCCAGCTGCTGCCCTGACACCTCCCCTGACACGGTTCTCAGGTACGTCAAACCCCACCTGTCCTTTTTTCTTTTTTTTTAAGATTCTATTTATTGGTGAGAGAGAGAGAGCACAACCAGGCGGAGCAGCAGGCAGAGGGAGAGGGAGAAGCAGGCTCCCCACTGAACAAGGAGCCGGATGCAGGACTGGATCCCAAGACCCTGGGATCATGACCTGAGCCGAAGGCAGACGCCCAACTGACTGAGTCACCCAGGTGTCCCTAACTCTTCTTTTATTCATGAGGAAACTGAGCCAAAGACAGCGTCATTGGCCTCTTCATACATCATAAATAAGAAATCACTTGGGGGCTCAGTCGTCTGCCTTCAGATTTTGCACTCTCTAAAGCAGTTTATACATATCTCTCATTGCCTTCCATGATATTATATATTTATATGATTATCTCTTGAACAGATTATAAGCTCATTTGGGGAAGGATCAACATTCACTCAAGCATTTTTATGATATTTACTATGCACCAGACACAGTGAGCCTTGGAAAGGTGAGGGGAGGTTGTGCTCCAAAAGCAACAACATCAGGTGCTTGGGCATAACGGTTAAGAGCAGGGGATCTAGAGTAGGACTGCCTGAGTGCAAATTCAGACCCCAATATTTACTAGTCGTGTCAACTCTGAGCAAGCTATTTAACCCATCTAAGCCTCAGTCTCCTCATCTGTAAAACAGGGACAAAACAGCCAACCACCTCACAGCATTGTGTGATGATTAAATGATTCCTCACCATAAAGTGCTTACAACTGTGCCTGGCACCTAGCAAGGGCTCAACATGTGTCTGACATTCTGCTAAATAGCTCTGTTTCTCTACAGGGCCTGACAAACAGCAGGACACTCAAATCAATTACTATGGTGCCCACCATAATCACTGACCAGAACTCAGTGTACAGGAAGAGAGCAGAGACATATGTAAACAAATACTCACATACAAGATTCCGAACGTCCCAAGAGCCTTTCAACCCTAAGATAGCATTGACTTGCACGGCTAGAGCGAAAGGAAACACTCCCTTATTTCCCTGGTGCGTGATCTCAGCACATCTTAGGCTGTCAACTCACACCCAGCAGCGGCCGGTCTGAACTTCGGCCTGCCCTCCTGCATCTCCCAGGGATCTCCCCTCACCCAAACAGTAAGTCATACACAGAACCCTTCCCCCAAAACGCGCATCCAGCTCCTTTCTTTTGGTCCTTACGGTTAAGTGTCAGCTACTTTTCGCTCGATTACTCACGTCATCTCCCGAGATGGGGTCACTGTCCCCATTCCACAGAGAAACTGAAGCTCACAGAGGAAAAGTGCGCTAGGCTCAAACAAAGCTCTAGTGTCGGAACCGGCTCTTAACACGGTCCACTGACCCACGCGGAGAGCTGGAAACAGTGAGCAGGAAAGAGCGAGGGGGGCTGACCAGCTCGGGACTCCCACACTCCCACCTTCCCCTCCCCGCCCCCGCGCCATTTCGGCCTCTCCCCGACAACCCGCGGAACCCGGACCAGACTCCGGCGCATTACCCCACCAGCCTCCAGACTTCGGCGCCCCGCCCAGGCCGGGCTCGCATACCTGAGATCGTCGCCGCCATCTCGCGTCGCCTCCGCTGCGCCGTGCCCCCCGCGTCCATTCCACTCCCTCCGTTGGCCCGCCTCTCCCATTCGAATTTCCCGGTGCCCCGCCCCCTGTCCTGGGCTCCACCAATCACGGCTACTCGCCGCCGGAAGCCCCGGCTGGTGGCTCGCAACTATCCCGCCCTCTAGGGTTCGCCTCAGGGACCTGCAAGAAAGTGTCCCGTGGCGGAGGACGCATGCGCGCAGGTTGGCCACCCAGCCGTGGACGTCGCGGCCCGCGCCCCGCTCGAACGCTGGTGCCGAAGGCACGGGCGGCGGTGGCCGTCGGACGAGATGCTGGGCGCGGCTGGGCACTGCACTCCCCGTACCTTCTGGCTTTCGGGTTTCCAAGCAAAGATTTGCGTAAGTGCAGACTTTTCGCCTCCTTTTCCCCCCTCAACCATGAATTTTGGTACGAATCAAGCAGCGATTCAATAGATTTCCCCCCAAAATTTCCTTGAATTGAATATTCTAAGTGAGCTTCACTTTCTGCAGTTTCTTGCCTCGGGTTGTTTCGCGCCCTGTGGGGTGGGGTGGTCGTTCTTGTGGATTTCAGGACTTGAACTCAGTTTCAGTCAACGGGGTGCTTTACCTTCTGGTCACTTGTGTCACTCCTGTAGGTCTGGACCACGCTGTCTGGATGTAGACAGTTATGGTGCACTCACGTCTTGCCGAGCCCAAATCCGCCATGTGAGGTGCAGATGCCAGGTTACATATGTGCCCTCTTATGTCAAATCTGAGCCCGGGAGACCAGCTCAGATGTTCCTTACTTTGTAACTCAACACATCCGAGTGGGCGTTAAAGGCGTGTTCAGTCTTTTACCTTGTCAACTTCACCCACGGTTCCACCCACCCAATGTCCTGTGGTTCACCGGTCTGTGAAGTAGTTACCTGTCCCTTCTGGAAGCTTAACCAGGGATGAATATCCCATCTTTGAGCTCCTGGTAGGGCCCTGGTTTAGAGATTATGTCCAACCTATTAAAAAACAAAACAAGTGTTACACCAGTGGTTCTCAAATTTTTTAGCCCTGGAATCCTTTTACATTCTTAAAAAGTGAGGCTCCAAGGGTGCCTGGCTGGCCCAGTCGGTAGAGCATGCAACTCTTGATCTCGGGGCTGTAAATTTGAGCCCCATGTTGGGTATAGAGATTACTTAAAAAAATAATTAACAGATCTTAAAAAAAAAAAGTTGAAGCCCCAAAGATCTTTTGTTTATATGGGTTGTGGGTTGTGTCTATTCAATAGTTACTGTATTAGAAATTAAAACAAATTAAAAATATTTATTAATGCACTTCAAAATTGCAGTAACAAATCCATCGAGACAGAAGGTAGATCCGGGCTTGGTGAAGGGTTGGTGAATTGGGACTATGGCTGTTAGGTATGGAGTTTCTTTTTGGGTGATAGAAATGTTCTGGAATTAGTGTGATAGTTGCACTACATAGTGAATATACATAGTGAACTGAAAACCACTGAAGTGGTTTTTTACACTTAAAAATGGTAAATTTTATGTTGTGTGAATTATATCTCCATTTAAAAATCTCAAAAAATTACAATAACAGACCCATTACATATAATATAAATAACATTTTAATTTTAAAAATAACTTTTCCAAAGCAAAAAAATATATATATAGTAAGAAGAGTGGCACTGTTTTACATTTTTATGAATATAATGCCTGGCTTAAGGGAAAATAGCTGTATTCTCCTATCTGCTTCTGCATTCAGGATGTTGTGATATTAATATGTCATATAGCTTCTTGAAAACTCCACCATATACTCAAGAAAGGATGCAAGGGGAAAAGGCAAATGGCATCTTAGTTTTATTATGAAAATAGTTTTGGCCTTGCAGACCCTCCCCCTAAGGTGTCTCAGTAGCCTCCAGAGTTTCCTGGACCACACTTGGGAAACCACGGACTTAAGACGATTGGCAGCTTGGTCTTCCCCACACTTCAGGAAGGGCTCTTCATATTTTCATATTTGTTGCCAGTCCCCAGATATTTGGTAAGATACCTGCCAGAAATGGTTCTGTTGGTGGTTGTAGTTTAGGGATTTGACCTTTGCTGTCTCCTGGGTGACTGCATCAGCTTGTGCAGATTCAGGCTTCTCTATTCTTGGGAATGCTCAAGATGCCTGGCGCTGTGTTTACTTAAAATGGCTCTTTCCCTGCTACCTTCTGCAGTGGGAGCTTGAGGACTCAGTACCAGCCTCTGTGGAGTTCCTGATGATCCACATGAGGAAACAGTCATAGTTCTATATCACCCAGTTAATTTGGTTAATTTGGTGACCTCCTGTAGGGAGGGTCTTGAGGAGGGCTTTTTTTTTGTAAAGTAATTTCTACACCTGACCTGGGCTCGAACTTACAACCCCAAGATCAAGAGTCCCATGTTCTACCAACTGAGCCAGCCAGGTGCCCCTAGCTGGCGGAGGCTGGGTGGGTGGTGGGGGAAGGGAGGAGTGTTCTTTTTGAGAGATTGCCTTTCAACTCCAGGTTGCCATCAGAGGAGTTGTGGGCTCTCTTTGTAGCTTGTGGGCCTTTGGGCCCTTCATTCCAGGCATGTTCCAGAGCACTCCCTACTTGAGGAGACCTCAGGCATGCCCCTGTTCCAGGCCACCTTCTTCATACACATAGCTCAGTTATCCCTATATAGCATTCAACCACTGCACAATGAGGCCAGTTGTTTTCATGTAACAGTAAAGTCTTAGAAATTAGATTTCTAGATGTATGAGCTCAATACATCTTAGAGAGCGTGTGACCCAGAGAAGCTCATTTTACATGTGGGTGACTGAAACCCAGAGAGGTTAAGAGATTTGAATGAGACCATGTAGCTGTGCAAAGGTAGGACTTAGCTTTCCCAAGTCCCTGGGCTGTACTCTGTCAACTCACTATGACATCTAGTAGCTAATAGCTAAGTTCCCTGCATTCCTCAGTAATCATTTTATCTGATTTTGGTCAGCAAACTCCTTCACTGCCTGCTATTGTCCTAACTCCCCACCTCCAGCCCTCCTAGGTTTTCTCAGGTGCAACAGCTAGTTTATATGTCTGGCTGGGCTGTAGTCGAGCATTCAGTCAAAACTAACCTAGGTGTTGCTGTTGAACCCGGGGGCTCTTGACTGGCTCCGTTGGTAGGGCACGCCACTCTTGATCTCAGGGTGGTAAGTTCAAGACCAACCTTCAGAGTAGAGATTACTTTAAAAAAAAAAAAAAAGTTGAACACATAGAAACAGTAGAATGTGGTTGCCAAAATCTGGGAAGTATGGGAAATGGGGACATGTTAGTAGAAGGGTACAGACTTTCCACTGTGTCGCATGGTGACTGTAGTTGAAAATACTGTATTGTATGATTGCGATTTGCTAACATAGTAGATCTTAAGCATTCTCACAAAAAAAAATTTTTTTTAAGGGTATCTATTGATAAAATAAGATATGGGAGGTGCCTGGGTAGTTTAGCCAGTTAAGTGTCTGCCTTTGGCTCGGGTCATGATCCCAGGGTTCTGGGATCGAGCCCTGCATTGGGTTCCCTGCTCTGTGGGGAGTCTGCTTCTCCCTCTCCCTCTGCCCTTCCCCCTTGCTTGTATGTTCTTTCTCTCTCTCAAATAAATAAATAAAATCTTTAAAAGTAAATAAATAAATAAGATATGAGGATATAATATACAGCGTAGGGAATATAGTTAATAATATTGTAACAATCTTTTTAAGATTTTATTTATTTATTTATTTGTTTATTTATTTGAGAGAAAGTTCAAGCATGAGCAGAGGGGAGGAACAGAGTCTGCTGAACATGGAGCCCAACGCGGGGCTCGATCTCACAACCCTGAGATCACGGCCTGAGCCGAAACCAGGAGTTGGACACTTAACTGACTGTGCCACCCAGGCGCCCCAACCACTTCATAATGTATTTAAATAGTAAATCACCATGTTGTATACCTGAAACTAATACAATATTGTATGTCAATTATTCTTCAAAAAAAATTTTTTAAGGTAACTGTGAGGTGATGGGTGTGTTAAGTAACTTGATTGTGGGAGTCCTTTCACCAGGTATACATATCAAATCATCACGTCGTACACTTCAAAAATATTAGAATTTTATTTGTCAATTATACTTCAATAAAGCTGGAAAAAATTTTTAAGAAAATTAAGTTACTAAAAGTGTAACATTTGATGATATAATACATTAATTTACAAGGAAGCAAAAGAACAAAACTGGGGTTTCCCTGAGGAAGAAGAAGTTCCACCCATGGACTGCAGCACGCCCTCCTGCCCTCGAGTTTCCAGATGGCCAGCCTGCCCTCCAGATTTTAGACTTGCCTCACCCGCCTCCACAGTTGTGGAGCCAATTCTTTGCAATAAGTCCCTTTATCTATAGGGGTCGCCTGGTTGGCTCAGTCGGTGGAGCATGCGACTCTTGATCTCAGGGTTGTGAGATCAAGCCCTGTGTCAGGCCCCACACTGGGCATAGAGCCTGCTTAATATTCTCTCTTCCTCTTCCTCTGCCCTTCCCCCCCCAAAAAATTAATTAATTTAAAAACAAGGCTAATTTTTCCTTGTACTCCTCATCTTAGAGAGGATCCAACTCTTCCCAGTTGCCGATACTAAACATGGTAGTTCTTCCAGACTTTCCTCCTTCACGCACCTTCATGCGTTCATTTATCAAGTTCTGAGTCCACCCTCCCCCTTGAATCTCTCAAATTCCTCCCTCTCTTCTCTTCCTCACATTGTTGCCTTTGTTCAGATATCCATCATCACTGATCTAGACCTATTCTCTTAACTATTACCCTGCTTCACCTTCAATCCATTTTCCCTACTTATACCAGAAAAAAATGACTTCCTTATAAATCTTTCTCAATCCTTTGGGTGAAATTGTGTCCTTGACACAAACGTAGGCCATGCTTTGGGAGTCCGGTGGATTCTGGGAAACAACAAAGGAAAATGGCCCAGGGACAGCAAGTGAGTTAAGGTCAAGAGCCTTTTGGTGGAGAGGCACTATCTCAAGGGGAGAGAAGGGTGAGAGAGTGGAACATCTGGGGGTTTGGTGATGAGCCACAGCTAGGCCTTAACCCCAGCCTCAGAACACCAGTTTGGGTAAACAGTCTCAGGAGCTATCCTTGAAGAAAAGAGTCGGTACAAGCCCGAATCGTATCTCCTCTTGATAAATTATGAAGAAAAGCCCAAATGGCTTCATGTAGCCCATAAAATAAATAAAGTTTCAATAGTTTAGCATGACATTCATGGTCTCTGCCTGTCCATGAGCTTCATCTTTGCCGAGTTGTACTCTGCATTTTAGCTGTGCTAAACCACTTGTCATTTTCATATGTTCGTATTTCTGCATAACCTGGGGCCTGAGCCCAGTACTGGGCCCCTGTACACATGTGTGCACGTGGACACACACACACACACACACACACACCCCACCCCTTCCTTCACCAAGTCTTCCTTAGCCTGGAGGAAAAGAACCCAACTTTCAGTGGTCTTTGTATTCCGAAGCACCTGGCAGAGACTATTTGATAAATGTATGATTAGCTCAGTTTAGCAATTTTCAAACTTTGTAAGTGAATAAAAATTTTCTTTAAATCAAATCTTTGGGGCGCCTGGGTGGCTCAGTTGTTAAGCATCTGCCTTCGGCTCGGGTCATGGTCCCAGGGTCCTGGGATCGAGCCCCGCATCAGGCTCCCTGCTCAGCGGGAGGCCTGCTTCTCCCTCTCCCACTCCCCCTGCTTGTGTTCCCTCTCTCGCTGTCTCTCTCTCTCTGTCAAATAAATAAATAAATAATCTTAAAATTAAAAAAAAAAAATCAAATCTTTTACAGAAGCCTAATATGTAAACTAGACAATAGCCAGGAATCCCATTACTTCATCCTCTTCTGCTGCTTCTGCCTCTAAGGTACGAGTGCGTCCACCCGGCCCCATGTGAAAGCCGCTAGCTTAAAGCGTGTCCTGAAGTTGACCAGATAGCTCTGTCAGACTCAGCCATACAAAGGAACAAAGTCCTGACACATGCTGCAGCATGGATGAACCTTGCAAATATGGTAAGTGGGAGAAGCCAGACACAAAAGGCCACGTTATTGTATGATTCCCTCTACATGAAATGTCGGGAATAGGCACATCCATAGAGACAGAAAATAGATGGGTGGTTACGAGGGGCTGGAGAAAGGAATGGGGAGTGACCGCTTAATGGGGCTGAGGTTTCTTTCTGAGCTGATGACAGTATCCGGGAATTAGAGAGGGATGATGGTTGCACAATCTGTACTAAAAACCACTGAAATGATACACTTTAAAAGGGTGAATTTTATGTGCTTTATATCTCAAAAAAAAGTAATTACAGTGACATAATTATTCCATTCCATGGAATTGTTTGAGAGAAATAAAGAAATTGTTATAAAAACAAGCTAGGTATTAGTTTACTTCTGTAATGTTAGTATTTCTTTCTAGAAT